CAACCAATTCCTCATCCACCCATCAAATCCTACCTCTCCAGTTTAGAGAGAAGGATGTTGTGAGGGACCATGTCAAAGTCTTTACAGAAGACCAGATAGATGACATCCATAGCTCAATCATAGCTCATCCATAGCTGAATCATACCTCATCCATAGCTCAACAGTGTCTGCACATCTGGGTGAACTGTCCAGAGATTATACCAATCAGTCTATGTTGACCATAGAGAGTGCCAAAACTATAAACCTTTAAATAGCTAAAGCGAGTCAAGAGGAATCCCCCTCTACAAATATCATTCAGGAGACTCACGGTAAGGAAGGCAAACCCTCCTTCTCCACAGTTACACACACACACACATATATACGTACAATCCATATACAAATGGTATCAGCACAACTTCTATGGAAGACATTAGGACAATCCCTCAAATAAATGATGTGCCTCCATTTGGCAGATTGGGAGATACTGCTGGAACAGAAGAAAAAGAAGAAATGGTAAAGTGTGGACTTGGAGCAAAGTAAAGTATTGCATTACATACTACACAGACTGGGAAAGGAAGACACAGAGAGACTCCAAGACCACATTGTGAAAGCCAAGTACCTAAACAAGGATGTAAGAGTCATATTTAGCCCCATCAGTTAAACTATCCTGATTACTAACCATTGTGTGGTAGTTATTGTGTTTGTATAGATATGACAGTCCTGCTCTGGAACGCGGCTTCCTTTAATGCCTGTGCTAGGAAACAAGTTTACTTGAGCATTTTTTGCCTTTTGCGTGGACTTTTTTAATAATTTTTTTTACTGTAAATGTCTGTGGCTAAGTGTTTCATACCTACTCTCTGCAATTGCATTGCATTCAACCTCAGTGACTGTTCTGAAATGCCCTGCTTTGTTCATTTGTTTTTGGTGTCACGGGTTGATCCCTGGTGGAGCTTTGCTTGGTAAAGTCATTACGACTCAGCCAAGCATTCTGTCACCATCCCAAAGTCTTGCCCTCTAGCTGTACACTGTATTTCGTTTCTATTTCTTTATGGTTTCTTATGAGAGCAATGTGCTTTTACAAACTGTTTCTTTTCAAGGCCCTTGTGAGGCCACATCCCTTGAAGTCAATGCTTTTCTGATCACCTCTATGCTTTTAGGGGTGATCAGAATTACCTCCATGCATCACCTCTGATCAGAGGTGATCAGAATAGGCTTTCAGCATAGAGGAGGAAAGAGTAATTGCCCAGGCTTGGCTTCAGGTATCTTAGCATAAGGCTAAGTTTCCAAGAAAAACAGCAGCACTGTAAAAAGTTGGCTCAAGTGTTACACACCACCCATCACCTTGGTCATGCACCATCCCACAGTTCCCAGCCTACCTGTGTTTTTTTTTTTTTCATGGGGCCACCAGATCACTGCTGGTGGTGTGAGGCTCCTGTGCTATGAACGCTTTCTCTAGCAGCACAAGCCAAAGAGAAACCCAGTGCTTATGCTGGGAGGCTTAAAAATACAAGACGCTGTGCTCTCAGCATCCTGCACCTCAAAAGCATGCTACAGCAGCCATCTGAGATGAGCCCTACCAGGCGTTACCCTACAGTCTGATAAATGTTCTTAAGAAGCAGGACAGCTCGTTACCACACTGATGAATTAGTGTTTGCTGACAAAAGGCCCTTTTCTCAAGGAATTCCCCATCAGCCCTAGGTGTGCCATAAGTGATTCAGGCTCTCATCAGCCCTAATAAGCTAATTGTTCAAATGATTTCTCTATTATTCATGGAGTCTGAGCACAAGCCTATCGACTGACAGGTGCTCGCTGCAAAGAAATTGTGTTTCTCCAGGGTGACACTCCTGCAGGGATCACTGTGCCCATCACAGTCCCCCAGGACCTTCTCTAGCTGTTGCAGCCCCTTAGGTTCCTCTGCTATACAGCTATATATACTGCCCACAGTTCACCACTGTGGCAGTATAGAGAATTTCAGCACCCCATATGTCTTTTTTGCATTACTCCTTTCCCCCCCAAAATTGGTAATTTTTCAGCCATCTCCTCAAGTCATGTCCCAGGTTGCCTTCCCATCTGAGGTGAGTTCGTGAGCTCCCTTACAAGCAGAGATTTAGTTTCTTTCTGATCCGCAGGGAGACAGCAAACAGGAATCATAGGAAGAGACTGTAATTTTTCTTGATGCAGATTACAGGCCTGTTACAGATGGCTCAGTGATTTAAAACACTAGCCTGGGACTCCAGATCCCACTTCCATAAACTTCAAGGTTGACCTTGGCAAAATCTCTCAGGCTGGAGTTTCTTTTGCCTGAAAATACCCTCTAAAAGCGCAGCAGCCAGGCTCCCTCTGCAGCTGGTGGAAAGAGAGAGGCAGACACCCTTTTTTCATATTGCAGATAGGTTTGTCAGAAAAAGGACATGAATCACTCTCTGGAGACACTGGCTTCTCTCTGCATTGACTGCAAAGGGCTCTCACATGACAACTTTGTGCTTAACACATAACAGTTAAATTCTGTGAGCAAGGACAAGAATTTTAAAAATATACAGGTCCCATAATATCTCAATTTCAGAGGGAATTGAGTAGTGCAGTCTTGTAAGTACAGGCTTTAGAAGCTCTGCAGTGGTATTTCTGCTTTGTAAAACCCAACAGCAATTCTTCCTGGTGAGGTTTAAAATGAGCGTGAGATTTTCAGGTGCTATGAAGACATAGACACAAGAACTCAGCATTTATTCTCCCTGCTGGTAACAGCTGCACTCAGTTGCTGGTGGTGGATATTGCTCACAGCAAAGGGGCCACTAACCTTTCTTTAGTGATGCATTCCCAAGACTTCAAAATCCTAAGAGATGCTCCAGCGTGCATCCACTGCAGCTGTCTGAGCCTACCTCAACTCTTGAAGCTCTTCGGAGAAATCTTCTGGAAGGAACATGAACAAATAAACAAAATAGGCAACACTGAATATCTCTAATATCAGCCACACTGGCTAAATATGAATATTAAGCTCTGGTGGGAAAGCAACCTCTATGGCAGCCAGGTGCTAGCCTGGCATTGCTCTGGAGTCTCTTCTCTGCTTATCCTGTTGACCTCAGACCCTGTGTCCCTCCCCAGAAACACTGAGTGTTTGACTGGAGCACCCAGTTGAGCTGTTAATGGGAAAAACAGGAACTTGCAGAGGGCTGTTCTGAGCTGAGATGGGTTGACTTCCATCTGAAGGTGCTCAAAGCTACGCTGACTACCAGGAAGCCTAAGGCAACGATGCATTACACAGCCCAGTGTTTGTGGGGTGAATCCAGGCACAAATACCTGTTTTTTCAGTAGGACCCAGCCTCTTCCTACCTCAGAGGGATGCAGATTCACAATATCTGACCATTGCAAATTCCCTCAGCCTAGTGGACATGGAGGAGGAGAAAGGGGACTCCTGCTCAGTGTTCCCTACATCAATGCCTTCTGGCTAGCCACAAGGAACTAGCCAAAAATGACAGTCACCAAGGCTGTCTTAAACTGAAACCAGGAATTGGACTCAGCTTCTGGACAGAAGCAGATTACAGACAGCAAAAAAAGAAGAGGGACAATAAACCCACCTCCTCCCTCTTCTTTTGCTCCTTGCTTGCTCCTGCACCAAGTGCAGCGGGGCAGAGGCTGGGCAGAACCTCCTTGCTCACAACACCACGAGACACCTGTGAGCAAGGTTTTGGGGGTGTGTTGACTCCTGCACAACTACATCCATTGCTTCAGACTCTTTAGTACCTTCTGACATTCAGAGCCACAGATATTTTTACCATCTGCCTGTCAGTGTTTCTCCCTGCAAATCACCCTTCCCTTCAGCCAGGCATCCCTTCCCAACCTTGCGCTTCTGCTGCTGCAGGCTTTAACGCTGACAGCCAGCCTGAGCTACCAAAAAAACCAAGCTCCCACCAGAAGGTGGTGCCCATATCCCACGAAACACGGGGCAAGCACTTCCCAACGCAGTTCACTTTTGGGCAACACCTGGAAATCCAGCCACACTTCTCCAAAACGACCAGAGCAAAACCACAGAACAGCTGATGCCAGACTCCCTCAGAAAGCGGGGTGGCATTTTTGCGGATGTCACCTGCAGTGTAGCTCACTGGGGTGCAGTGCAGTGTATTTTCTCTTAAGGGTTTATAACTTAATGGACTTTTTAATGAACAGAGCCCTGCAACTGTAATTAGGAATTTAATAAAGACATAATACTGCCTGGATATTCACTTGCTATTTAAAGAGGACACAACCCCGAACCAAGGTGTTTGTCTTTGTCTAAAGGCACACATGGATGCTGATTTCTGTGCAACACTTTGTTGCTACCCCAGTTTGCTCTTGATGGTCTATCAAAGGCAGATATGGGATGAGGAGCATGGAAAGACCATAGATTTGCTGTGATATATGAAGGCACCAGCTCAAAACATCAAGAGGGATACAGGCTTCAGTCGATCCTCCAGTATTTTCTTGTCTCCTGCTGTATTGGTGATTTGCATTTCTTCCCTCCAGCTCGCTGCTAGCCAAACATCAGCAGGCTCCCTCCTTCGTAGCTGCAACGGCAGCTATACCTGGCCAGCACGCAGGTACCACTCGGTTACTTGGCAAATGTTATGTCCCCCATCCAACCAGCAGCTTGTCACGAGCTGCATCAAGAGCTGAAGTGAGGGTGGGATGCTGCAGGGCACCCGTGTCGCATCCCTCTTCCCCCTGCAGCTCTGTGCCACAGCTCCATGACAGCGGTGGGTCATTTCCCGGTCCTCATCCCCGAGAGGAGACACCACTGCCCAGCGCAGCAGCACACACCACTCTTAGCAGTGCTTCAGGCAGGTGCCTTCTCCATGAAATATCCCACCTCTGAAAAAGGATATCACCATAGAGCTCTAAAGTACAGCAGAAAGTTGCCAGGGCACAACACAAAAGGTTTTCTAAGACGTGGGTTTTGTGATTTACAGTTACCTCTTCTCACCACCCAAAAAAGATGGAGCTTGGACAGATCGTTGTGGCTGAACGTCCTGGTGAGAGGCAGCTGTACACAGAGAAGAAGCCAAGAGCCCAAGACCTGCTGAGGAGAAGCAGAAATCGGATCCACCAAGTTTTCGGGTATCTCTCAGGAGAAATGAAAGAATATGGAGAGTGGATGAAAAGTAAGCACAGGGATATGTTTGGGGCGCTCTGGCTAGGAAGAGCTAGCTGGGAACATCTAAATTGCCAACAGTACCTTCAGTGCTGGGGCTCGAGACGAGGGGCTATTTCACCCCCTGAGGCAGAGCGGAGGCAGCACGGTCCGAGCTCACTGCAAGCTTCTGGCCTTTTGACCCAAATCATTTTATCCTCCTCAAGGGGATCTCACTGCATCCTCTTGCCATTACCATGGCTGCAGGCATAATTCAGCACAGGCAAAAGACTTCTTTTACACTTAATCAGTTATGTGTCATTAGCATCACATTCCTTACAGTGGTGCCCAGACTCACACGTCAGGGTTGGGGATTTAGTCTTGTTTGTAAGTGCTTTGGATCAGCAGCCATCTCCTCATCCGTGTGTGGGCCAGCGATGGGGACTTCACTCCTGACTGTGTGGGCAAAGGCTCTTCTATTACTAGCCTTGGGGGAGCAATAAGTACTGTGGCCGTTATGTTGCTATAAAATACAAAGCAAGTACTGATCTCAGAGGTTTACTGTCCAGACAGGAATAATACATGAGCAGATGGTCCATGTTAACTGGAATTATTGGGGATTTGGGGCTTTGAGAGGCTACGTAGGACGGCGGGTCCTCTGTCAAGGCTAGGTTCGTTAGCAGCACCACTCCAGCAATGGGAGAGAAATAAGAGGCAGCTGTGTACAGCCAGGCTGTGCAGTGGCCAGCGCTGGCGGAGGAGGTTGGCTGAGATGCCTCCAGGCAGGGAGCTCATCAGGCTGGCAGTGTGATCCCCAGCCACAGGGAGACATTTCCTCCTGCTTTCTCTTTACGCCAGTGGTCCGTGCTTGGTAGACAGCTTTTCATACTCAGTGTCCTGAAAAGCTCTGGCCACTGCCCACTGGTTATATTTTAATACTTCCAGTTATATTTGTGTCTAAAATCATAAGCATTGCTGATATATTTCATAGCTTGACACCAAATGTTACTAAAAATTATTTCAGACAAGCCTGGTCATTTTTCTCTAGGGAACTCCCTTCTCTGTGGCTGTAACTGCCTGGGTCCCCAGTAACGCACAGCCTGAGGGATGCTTGCAAAGGAGTCCCTCAACAAGCCAAGAGGCTCCAGCCTCTTGGGAGGGCTCTCCCAGTGATGCTGAAGAGATGCAGAGTGGCACCTGGCCCTTCAAAGATCCTCTATTTAAGCTAATCTCATCAGAAAGCAAACCTTGAGACTTGACAGTAAATACAACATAGGGAAGTGGAAAAGAAGGGAGTGGGGAAGGGAGGAGTTTTTAGGAGTAAGTCATTGCCCAGATTCAAAAAGTAGTCTGGCGCTTTATGCTGTATCTAACTAGCAGTCTAAACTAATTGAACTAATTTAAAGTATTTAAGATGAAAGCTGCATATACACATTGCATGAACACATTGTACATGTAAGCAGCCCCTCTTTCACATTTATTCTCCTTGCATCATGTTTAATAATGCACAGCAGTACAGAAATTGTTACACCTTTCCCAGAAGCATGGCAGGAAAAGACAGCAAGTCAATGTGCAGTAGAAGATCCAGCAGCAAAAAGTTATTGCAGTGCTACAAGACCCTCCTCGCCCCATAGAGATCATTAGGAGTACTGTACATAGATGCCCTCACCCCACACACATCCCACCTCCACCCTGTACTCACCTGAGGTACCCAAGCTTGGTGCCCGTTTGCTCTGTCTGTGTTCAATAGTCTTCTCTGAGGAGAAACGGCTCTTTGTCCTTTGGAAGCACCTCTTTCCCCTGACTACAGCCCAAGCTATAATAACTATTCTCTTAATTTAGGTTCTTCAGTTCTCAAAATACTTTTTAGACACCTTTGACAGTTTGATCCCGTCTCCCGTATACAACGTACCTCCATGTTCTTGGTCTCTAAAACAGCAGAAGTGTTTCCTTTTCATATTTCCCTATCCATGTACAAACTAGTTTCAGTCTCTGCCTAAGTCCCTGTCTGCATCTGAATTATACACAAAAAAGGGACTGTCTCCTCAATAAATTTATAGCAGAATCTTAAGCAATCTAACATGCAAGAAAGACTACTCTTTGACCACCGTAAATAAACCACTTTTTTATGAATCCCTCCATGAACTTTATAGCAGTGCCCAGTCCATCTCTATTAGCTTTTCAAGTGCCAGATGCAAAATATGCTCAGGCAACAATAAATTAGAGACCGGTTTTACACTTCTGGTGATACATCGTCTCTATTCTGTGGCCAGAAAGTGACTGTAGAGATGAGTGTGCTTTGGGGGAGTCCTTCAGAAATGATGCCTTATCACCAGCTTTTTTATTTTATCATCTCCTCCAGATAAGCCCCTAATGGTTCAGCTGGTGGACTGGATCTTGCGAGGGACTTCGCAGGTGATGTTTGTCAACAACCCTTTCAGTGGGCTGATCATTTTAGTGGGGATCTTCATCCAGAGCCCCTGGTGGATGCTCACGGGCTGTACTGGAACAACTGTGTCGACATTAACTGCGCTGGCCCTCAGTCAGGACAGGTAGGTGGTACCTTACATCCAGGCACTTAATAAGAATTGATCCTTACAGTATCAGGAGCCTACTGATGGGTCACAGCCCCACATTTGAGTACGTTAGAGACAGCAGACTGGCACTCCTCATGGATGGTTTAGAAGCAGTTCTGTGAGGACAGAGCTGTTGATCCAGGAAAGTCTGGCCTGTCCCCATAGTTGGCTGTCTTTGTGAGAGCAGACAGTTATCTCTCCCCGGTAGCCATCATCACAGTCATGTAGATCCGTTGGGTCACGGGAAACCCCCTGGATCATCATCATTAACAGTCTCCAAACTCCTGCCTTCTACGCACCAGTGCAATGCAATACGGCAGTTACCTCACTGCTTCTTCATCCTTCCCCTACACTCCCTTCACTGGGAGCAGGACTCCGACAAATTGTGTTTCAGTGGGTCCCTGTGGCAGGTCACCTTTAGCACAGCTTGCTACCATGTAAACATTTCTTTCCATCACAGATCAGACATTGCAGCTGGGCTGCACGGCTATAACGGGATCTTGGTGGGACTGCTCATGGCCGTCTTCTCTGACAAGGGGGATTACTACTGGTGGCTTCTTCCTCCTGTGGCAGTTATATCAATGGCCTGGTAAGTGTCACTTGTCCTCCTAGGGACAATTCTCAGAGAATGAGAAGTCCTGCTACATACAGCTTAAATACGTTGGAAGTCCCCTCTGCCCAGTCCCCTACACCGGCAGCTCCAGCCATGGTGGAGCTGGAAAGAGGCATTAATTGATGCACAGAGCTTGTGAGGCACATTGGTAGGAGGTTGAGTGCACAGAGAACGCTGATTATAGCACACAGACAAAGCAGCCCCACGTCAACACTCTGCAAATGGTCCTCATCAGCTGGACACGTGCACGGTGGATGTCATCGTGCCCAACACTGCAACGGTTCTTCCTCATCCAGGCGCCCAAGTGACCCGGTGCTCTCCCTTGGGCTGAATTCAATCTTCCCCCTCGCAGACGTGCAACCAGTCATGAGCAAAATTAATTCCTCCAAGTAACTCTGAATGCCAGACAATGTCCTTTCAGGATTAAATTTACCATTTCTAAATATGGACCCTAACAGCACTGCAGAATCTATTTAACAACCTTAACTGAAATTAATTCAAGAGTCACAGTTTAATCACTGTTAGCAATAAGATGCAAGTCAGTATTGCATTTCACTGCTTTTAAAATCGGATTTTTTTTTTCATATTTTATTTCTTCAGTCACTCGCAGCAAAGGTCATTTTGTAAAAACCTCTCAAAACCCAGAACATGTTGCAAGAATGTTTAGTTTGTCTTGTCTGCCAGAATTCCTTGGGGCCTTTTGTTCAAACTTTTCTTCGTTCTTTTAGTTCACAAGACTCAAGGGTAGAGCTGAAAGATTTTACAATTAGACATTTCAGTGATTTTTTCAACCGATGCTTTGAATTTCAGTTTTAGAAGTCAGCATTTCTTTCACTGTTTCTTTTTTTTTTCTGACAAGATGTATAACTGGCAGAAGCTTTGTATTTCAGCAGAGAAATTAGGACACTGTTTTCACTGAGCTGCTGATTTTTTTCCTACATCTACAAGCAAGGAAATCCGTAAACTGCTCTTGAAACCAAATTTGTCGTGAAAGAATAGGCTTCATCTGGGATTACACAGGGAGAACAAAGCATTTTTTCCACTGATAGTATCGACACAACAGGACACAAGATGTTGCTTTTGAAATGCCAAATAGTTTGGGTGGGTTTTTTTTATTAGAACCAGAATAATGACCTTCTAGGACTCAAATGCAGCTTCTGGAAAAATTCAAGTCTACACTGAATTTTTGTAAGCTGTGAGATGTCCACTGCTACTTGGAGGTTGACCATATGAGCTGCTCAGCTCACTTAAAACACAGCCCATTGCTGTCAAGGACAGGACCTGGATTTTAGCTCTTTTCCACAAGCTTTCTGGGCGCCATAAAAAACAGATATTATCTTGCCAATATGCTACCACAAAGGCATTCATGCAGGACACCCACTTCAAGTGGAAATAAGGCAGTCTGGAAACGTCCTAAGGAAAGCAGATCTTCTGAAATTTATATCCTGGTTTCCTGGTGAAGTTTATATCCCATGTTCTACAGCCAAGAACTTTGGGAAAAGTCATGGTATCTCGAGGTTTGCATGCTTTTTAGTGTTCGGTCTCTAAATATTTTGAGGGTCGCCCCAAATACTTTATATGCTAAATACATTCAATCATGTTTCTTAAGAATGAAGCCCAGTCAGAAAATGCAGTATGACTTTGGGTAGTACCTGGGCAGCACACAGAAACATCAGTCTCATTGACATAAGCAGGAACATCAATCAAAGTCTGGGTCATGCCTGGCACAACACCTTTCACAGCTCTGTTACAGTGGTGACTTTGTCTTACATTCTATCAGGCTTCATATGTCCTAAGGACTCCTTATTCCACCCAAAGAGTGTCTAACACAGTAAATATTTTACATCTTTCTTAATGGATCACCTCTTCAGTTTTATTTCTCTTTCAGAACCACCTTCCAATATCCTTCAAACCATTTAAACAAAAAAAAAAAGCAAATTAGGTAGTTTCCAACTCCTCTTGCTTCCTCAAGACAGCAGCTTTTTTAGGCCATCTACAGTTCTTCAAGTGGCATTCCCAAAATTCGCTCTTCCATTACTGAATAAGAAGCCAGATTACCTTTCCCCATCCATGCCTATGTGCTGTACTGGATGCATTCCTTCATCGACTCCCTGGGATCAGCTTAGCTAGCGGAGCACTTGCAGACTAGCCAACTGTCCTGAGAGAAGGGTGTGGCATTTACACCATCCATGAATGGATGTGATAGTTGTTGCAAAAAGGTGAACAGCATTCTGCAACTATCTGTCTGATGCAGACCAACATATTAAAGGCATTCACCACCTGATGTTTCTAAACGGAATGGCATTGGCTTGCATTTACCAGAGCTTATGACCAAAGTGGTAGGCTGCTTCACCACTGTAATTGTTATGAACAAGTTATGTTTGTTTCTCTTCTTCTGTTCTCAGTCCAATCCTGTCCAGCGCTTTGGGATCCCTCTTCAGTAAATGGGACCTTCCTGTTTTCACTCTGCCCTTCAATATTGTGGTGACTTTGTACTTGGCAGCCACAGGACACTACAACCCCTTCTTTCCTACAACTCTCATCAAGCCTGTAGAGTCAATGCCCAATATCACCTGGTCTGCAATCAATGTGCCACTGGTAAGCTTCACTCCAACAGATTTATGCTATTTCATTAAAAAGGTGAGCGTGAAGTCATTCAGCTAGGGATAACAATTTAACATGGGTCAGAATGGCTATGTGATATGTACAGCCTGCAGCAAGTCATAGAAATACATGGCTCTGTTCAGTCCATAGAGGAGAGTGTCATAAAAGTCCCAGGGACAATCCTGGCTGATCCAGCAGAAAAGCTGATCAAGCCTGAGGGAAGAGAGATGCTGAACCTCTCACTTCACCCAAAATTAGAGTGCCCCAAAACAAGTCTTGAGTGCTGCCAACGCAGAAGCACATCTGGATATGCACTCCCGCTGGCCAGATGTGGTTAAAAGAACATCAGCAAGACAGTCAGTGACAATATGAAAAGACAGAAGAAACATCAGGATCCTGAAGGGACAGAAACTCATTTATACCCAGTCCTCTCAGGTCTAGAGCTAGCTCTGGAGGATCACCTTCCCAAAGCAGCATAAGGGTATCCGATATGCTTCATACAATATATAAGAAACTCAAATCAGCCAGGCCCACCATAGTATTGCTAGGAAGGTTACCATTTTTCTCCCTCACTAAAGTCACCCCACCAAAAAACAAAACAAAACAAAACAAAACATAACTCCCCAACCCCCCATCCACCATATTACCATCCCAGTAGGAAAAAAAGTCCATCTTGGACTGATGAAGTTCAAACCAAAGACTGAACTAACTCTGGCGAAGGGCATGAGTGCCCACATTTACCCATCAGTCTCACTCAGAGCCAGGGTTGCTTCCTTCATTTCTAACCAAAAGCTTGGACAAAATACCTGCTGTGTCCTTCTGAGTACAGAGATAGAATAACACATCCTTTTTTGCAGCTCTTGCAATCCATCCCAGCCGGTGTTGGCCAAGTGTACGGTTGTGAAAACCCCTGGACTGGAGGCATCTTCCTTGTTGCTTTACTTATCTCGTCCCCACTTATTTGTCTACATGCTGCAATTGGATCGACAGTGGGGATGTTTGCAGGTTAGAAATATTTACCAAAGTAATTTTTAAAGTAGGTCATCTTATATGACTCTGTCCAGACTTTAGAGTTGCATGGGCTTGGATGTACTTGGGACAACCCCAGCCAGCAATCAAGCCCCACGCAGCCGCTCGCTCACTCCCCCACGGTGGGACGGGGGAGGGAATTGGAAGAGTACAAGGGAGAAAACTCATGGGTTGAGATAAAGGCAGTTTAACAGGTAAAGCAAAAGCCGCGCACGCAAGCAAAGCAAAACAAGGAATCCATTCCCCACTCCCCATGGACAGGCGGGGGTTCAGCCATCTCCAGGGAAGCCGGGCTCTGTCACGCGTAATGGCTACTTGGGAAGACAAACGCCATCACTCCGAAAGTCCCTCCACCCCTTCCTTCTTCTTTGTCCCAGTTTTATATCCTGGGCATAACATCGTATGGTAGGGAATATCCCTTTGCCCGGCCTGGGTCAGCTGCCCTGGCTGTGCCCCCCCAGCTCCCCGTGCACCCCCAGCCTTCTCCTGGCAGCCCAGCACGAGAAGCTGGACTGTCCTTGACTGCTGAGCAACAACCCAAAACATCAGCACATTATCAACATTTTCTCATCCCAAATCCAAAACATAGTCTCATAATGTCTTCTATGAAGAAAATTAACTCTAACCTGGCTGAAACCAAGACAACTCCCATTTTTGAAACTCTCTAAATTTGGAGAGCCTTACTGAAGGTCACACAACATAGTGAAGGCAAGAACAGAAGCAGATTTTCTTTAAGCTTATTAGATTTGTAACTCAGGCAGGTGGTTTTTTCTACCTTGCTTAACCCTCCTGCTATTAGATGCGATGAATCCCATGGAGATGATGATAAAGAAACCTAGAGAAATAGTTTTAGAACTGATCTCTTGCCACCACAAATGTTTTAAATTACCACCACATGCAGATCTCTACCTCAGAGCTGATCAGTCAATGAAAAGAAACAGACTTTTCCAGGATGCAGTTCATTCTATCCTGCTGCAGATTTGTAAAAATAGCTAAATGAACGCCACTCAAAATGGCCTGTCTCTCCACTAACCAGAGAAACAATCTTAAGTTAGAGAGATGAATCTGACCCTTGAAGTTAGACAGGATTAATGCTACTTATGTGACCGATTGTAATAAAAAAATATGCTGGAATAAGTGTAGTCTGAGACAATAACCTTGGAAAAGGCACAGACATCCAACAATAAGTTCTCTGTGCTCTGAAGCACTTTGTTGAAGATGTGAGCTGCCTTATATTTGGTTTTTTAAACAAAACTATCTAAAATTTGTATGGTTAAGAGTGTTCGGCAAGTTTTGTACAGGTCTGACATTTAACCTAGAAGAGAAAGGTCAGGGGAAAGTATCTGGGGATGAGCATGGCAATGAAACAGAAGACAAATGAGGACATTATAGCAGGAAATGTATTAATCTTGAGTGACATGAAGGTGGCCTGTGCACTACGTATTGTGCTTTGCTTTTTACTGGTACTCCTGAAGCCTCTGAGAAACCCTGCAGAAGTACCTATGAGGTCAGGTTTGGAGCAGACCCTCAGCTCCCAACCCAGTGCAGAATTTCCACAGCAATGATGGAGTGACCACATCTAGGATCTAGACCACATCTAGCAAAGGTCACTAGGAAGAGTTGGAAAATCCTGCTTACTCCCACAAAAGACACTCAGCTGTGCCTCTGATATTCAAGATCAGGGTACATATGAGGTTTAAACAGTACACATGAGCACAGCTTTCTGCAAGAAGGACACTCAAGTGAGGAGGTCCTCCTACACTCTGGTCCTCCTACACTCATCCTCCATCTGGTCATCTGGGGACTAACTACAACACAGTGCATATGTAGAAAATTTTGCTTGAAATAAACCTTTGAGACTGGGACAAATTCCAACCCTAAGGACATTATCAGAGCTCCAAAATAATGAGCTTCCTTTGATTTCATCCTTCTTTGGCATGTGCATGTTATGCAAATGTGAGCGTGGTTAAATTTGTCTAGATGTCATAGGGAAGAGACAATGGATTCCCAGAGAGTGACGGGTCCTCCTGCAGATACTCCTCATACCTGACCTCACAGCCCTGCCTTTTGTCTTGCAGCACTGAGTATTGCATCACCATTTGACAGCATCTACCTCGGCTTACACAATTACAACTGCGCCCTTGCGTGCATTGCGATTGGGGGCATGTTCTATGCCTTGACCTGGCAGACTCATTTGCTGGCACTTGCCTGTGGTATGTATCTTTTACAAAAAATTTATGCAGCCCGGCAGTCAATGAGTAGTACAGGTTTAGAGTCAACTTTGGGCTACCACTCCGCTGGAAAACTAGGCACTATGCAAGAGCTATTTCTGTGACGGCATCAGAGTTGAATGTGGATGTGCAAGCTGCAAGTGCAGAGAGAAAGGCCTTTAGGCCCTGATAACCTAAAAACATCTAAAAAGGGTGGAAATACTGTTTGTGAAAGGAGTACAAACTATGCCATGAGCGAAAGTTTAACAAATCAGCAACTCAGCAGATTCATAGAAGCAGCCTTTTCATAATGGTATGTATCAGTAGAGGAAGCATAAGACAGCTCTTACACAAGGCCAGTTTAAAATCCATCTACCCAAAGACCCCATCTCCAACAGCAGCCAAAAAAGGACTCTATGGGAAGAGTTTAAGAACAGTGTAGCATATATAAAATGTCCACGAAGATTCACCAAGCCTCCAACCATTTGCATTTCAGTAGCTTTCTGTCCTGAACTCAGCTTCTGGATTGTTCCATAGCTTTCCTTTCCTTGACTTTGTCCTGCTTTGCCATCTCTCACATCCTGGGCCAAGGAGGCCTATGGCTAACTGCTTGCGGTTTGAAGCCACAGGACAGACACTGGTGGATAATTTCATAGAATCATAGAATAGAATCATAGAATCATTTACATTGGAAAAGACCCTTAAGATCATTGAGTCCAACTGTTAACCTAACATGGCCACGGCCACCACTAAACCATGTCCCTAAGAGCCACATCTACATGTCTCCTCCAAGGATGGTGACTCAACCACTTCCCTGGGCAGCCTGTTCCAGTGCTTGACAACCCTTTTCGTGAAGAAATTTTTCCTAATCTCCAATCTAAACCTCCCCTGGCACAACTTGAGGCCATTTCCTCTCGTCCTATTGCTGGTTACTTGGGAGAAGAGACCAACACCCACCTCACCACAACCCCCTTTCAGGTAGTTGTAGAGAGCGATGAGGTCTCCCCTCAGCCTCCTCTTCTCCAGACTGAACACCCCCAGTTCCCTCAGCCGCTCCTCATAAGACTTGTGCTCCAGACCCCTCACCAGCTCCGTTGCCCTTCTCTGGACACACTCCAGTACCTCAACGTCCTTCTTGTAGTGAGGGCCCCAAAACTGAACACAGGATTCGAGGTGCGGCCTCACCAGTGCTGAGTACAGAGGGTTCCCTGTAATCCCCCACTGCACACAGGTCAAGTTGTGCCAATTAAGAAGAAATTAAAGATAAAAGAAATACCACCATCACTTGCTCTTGACAAAACCAAATTCTTCACCCAACATCCATCTCTACAGAGCAGATAGGACCAAATGTAGTCCACTTGGCCAGATGCAGCATTGGGACATTTATCTAATTGTTGAATTATAATATTAATCCTCATAACAGGTAGCTGTGAGAATCCTTTACTGTGCATGTGGACAATATTACTATTTTTAATAATTTCTTTAGAGAGATGAGCAAGAATTTCCTCACTTTGAGCTGTCTTTGGTCTTCTTTTCTCAGCATTATTTTGTGCCTACTCCGGAGCAGCTCTTGCTAATGCCCTAGCTGTGGTAAGTTTGGGGATTTTTTTGTGGGATTTGTTTGTTTGTTTTAACTGTATTTAGATTTGTTATGATACAATGCTAAGGAAGTGCCCAAAAATTCTCCGTGTCAGTTTTGACAGCAATGAAGTGAGAATGCTGCAGCCAGTGGCAGGCCTTGTACAAATTCCGTGTCAGTTGAATTTTGCACTTGCAGACTCTGTAGCTGATAATAAGATTTCAAAGGCATTTGGAACACGTTATCCATGGTGGGATTGTGCATGTATATGTGAATTCCAGCAACAGTGTACAGTTTAAGATGCAATATTTCGTTGCAGGCAATATTTCTGAACAATTCCCAATGGTCTAAATTTTGACTTGCTTCTTCTGAGGCCTTTCTCCCATCCTACCCACAGATATTATTTAAGTTTGATCTGGATATAAGAACAAAAATGAGGGCGAGACTGTTCTCTGAAATACAAAATTGTCGTATCTGGACAGATCAAGAAAGAGGTGAAGCCAAGCTTTGTTTCCTCTTTAAGACCTGAGAGATTAAAGCAAAACTATATTTTAATAAAATAGATTTAGTAACTTAAAAGAAAAAAAAATTAGAACTAGCAGCTTGATGCATTAAATGTATTCATCTGGCATCCACTTGGTACCATGCAGGTCCCTGCAGAGGGGTTGCTTTGTTAAGCACACTTGCTTTTGGGATGCATCATCCTACGATGGTCATCCTATGACGATGACATCCTATGTCACGCTGTCCTCAGGGACAGCACAGGCTTTCCCAGCTTTTCAAATGCAAGAATTTAGCAACCGGCAGAAGTAAGCAGAAGGAACGTGCAAAAAGAGGTACCAAAATGCACCCGTCTGTCTGTCCTTTCCCCTCCCAGCTCGGGCTGCCGCTCTGCACCTGGCCCTTCTGCTTCTCCGCACTTCTCTTTTTGCTGATAAATTCAGACAACCCAGCCATCTACAAAATCCCTCTCTGCAAAGTCACCTACCCAGAAGCCAACCGGATCTACTACCTGAGAATGAAGAGAAGAGCATCAGAGAGCAGGAGAGAAGAGCAGAAACGAAAGGAGCAGAAACCCTCCGGCGACTCAAAAATAAGCACAGGAGGCACCCCCCTGTGCACCCCCAAAACCCGCCATGCTTACTGATTTCCAATGTCCACGACGTACAGTTTTGGGGCGGTTTTTCAGATGCTAGCCAAGCACACCACAGCCACAACCGCCACCCTTGGCAGCGATCTGCAGGCTGGGGATTCGGCATCCCACGCTCTGAAGGAAACACGATTTGCCCTTGAGCTAAGCTTTCCAAGAAGCACTCAGGTAACATAATAACGGCTGCCTTATCAATCCACATGCTGTTAACTTGAAAGTCACCTCTTATCAATAATAATTATAGGAATAGGCAGAAGAACATTAACACTGACAAGAGGCTGTATTTTATTTCAGATGTGTAATTTAACAAAATAAATATGCTGAGAACTTGGTATCTAATAATAATAAATAATGTAAGAACTACATCAAGAGCTGCACTTCAAATTAAGAACATGTATATTTGAAAGTGGAATAAACAGACTGCTCTCTTCTTTTCTTGTGTCCCATCAGTGTCTAACCCTCTTAATCCCTCTTAACAGCTACAACATACACAGGTAAGTATTCTTACAGAGTGCATATTATTTTTGGTGCCATCTCTTGACTCCTCATTAAGCACCAAGACAATGAAGGTATGAATATATATGCTTTAATCAGACTAGAAAAGTCACTAGCTAGCAATGATCAAACATTTTTATTTTCCTTGCATAATTTTCTGTCTTATAAATGGAAGATCTCTCTCCTGCTG